AACGCAAAATGTCAGTGCAGTGATCGTTATCTAAGTCACTTCTAGAGAGGGAGCTGAGGACTGAGAAGAATTGGCTGTTTTATGTGAGCAGGAACTTTAATGTTTCTTTTCACACGTGGGTACTCATTGCCACAGGCTTCCTAGGTGGCTCAGTGGTAAAGAATCCACCTGCCAATGCAGGAGCTGCTGGAGACACGGGTTCGATCCCTAGGTCCGGAATATCCCCCAGGGGAGAGAGTGGCAGCTCCACTCCAGTATTCTTGCCTGGAAAATTCCATGGACAGAGGAGCCTCGCAGGCTAAAGTGCATGGAGTCGCAAAGGGTTCGACATGACTGAGCAACTGAGCATGCACGCGAGCGCTCATTGTCAACCTTTCTTTCCCATTAGATGTGAAGGAGCTCAGGCCTCCGTGAAATGCTTTCTTCACTGGACTTTGAAGATAATCACTCTTTTCATTATCCTACTCCTCTGGCTTCTTCTTGGATTCCTTTGTGTTCATCCTCACCTTTCTAACCTCTAAATTTTGGACTGCCCCAGAGCTGTCTCCTCAGACTTCTTATTTTTTTCTGTTTAACTTATCCCCTACATGACTTCATCCTATCTCTTGGCTTTAAATAATTGTCCAAATAGTGATGATTTTATTTATATCTCTTGCACCTCCATCCCTGACTGAATCCTCCCAAACACCAGGCTCATCCCTAGTTGTCACTCAACATCTCCGCTGGATGTCTCCAAGGCACCACTGAACAGGTCCAAAAGTGAGCTCTGAATGATAGCTCCTCAACCTGCTCCTCCTTCAGCTTTCCCCATTGCTGTACCCTTGTATTTCCTCAGGCCAAAAACTTGGAATCACCCTTGACTCCTTTATTAAGTCTTTCACATCTGTCATGCAAACCATCAGCCTATCCTGCAAAGTATATCCAGATACTAACCATAACTCATGACTATTTCCATCATCCTCGCCCATTCAGGTCCAAGTTTTCCATTGCCTGGAAGATTATAATTGTTTCCAAATCAGTCTCCTTTCATCATCTTATATTTTATTATCAAAGTAGCAGCCAGAATGATTTTTTAAAAACTTAAGTCAAAATTGTTCATAACTGTCTAATGGCTTTTTGTATCACAGAAATGAAGTATTTAGCATGCCCACAAAGTTAAGATGATAACCAGTCATTCCGCAGAAAATCTGAAGAATAAACATTTGGATATATCTCTTTCTAAAAAAAAATCATAATGCACAGTATTTATTATTGATAGTCACATGCATTAATAATCAGCAACAATTAAACACCACTACAGTTTCCAAACAGTGCTTGTGATTGATGTTTGCTATCTTCTTCATTTCAGAGTTATACATTATGGATATATCTTAAGGGAAGCAGATATGGTGTGCCCATCATGGGCTGTTTTGAAAAGCTCATGTCCCAAGGACAAACATCATGGCCAGAAATGGACAATCTAATTTGTTAGAAGCTTGACAAAAACTTAGTTGTGAGGAATTCTGAACCTGCAAATTAGCAAAATTGCCTTTTCTTGGAATTGCTGCTTAATTTGATCCAAATCAGTAAAGACTGAATTGTTCTATTTCATAGACATTAACACTCCTTTGAAATGAATTTTCTTTAGCATTTCTAAGTTGTTGTTCAGTTTCTTAAGTCGTGTCTGACTCTTTGCAACCCCATGGACTGCGGCACACCAGGCTCGTAGGTAGAATGAAATTTACATCACAAATATTTGTGAAGAACTGATGTATCCAGGTAGGTTCTAACAATACCTGGAGCGCTCCAGATTTCATTTGAAGTAGAAATATAGGCAAGAAGTTTCAAGAATACCAATGGGAAATAAATCGAATTATCTGATAACAAATAACATTGTTCATATTCATTCATCCACTCATGCAATCAACAAACACTGAGGATAAATAAGACCTGCTTTCTGTTTTTGTGTAGGTTGTGGTCTATAAGGGGAGACAGACATGAAGAAGATTAACTGTAATAGGGTGGGATTGTAGGATAATGGTGTTAGTTGAGGGATGTTAAAAGTGCCACAGAAGCACAGAAAAGGATGGAAAGATAAGGAAATTGAATCTGCTTTATGGAGGCATCTCCTTCTATCATCATTCATTTTATCAGTCAACACTAGGTACCAGCAGAGCTCTATGCCCCGTACTAAGGCCCAACAATATCATTCCGGGAGAGAGATAGCTAATAAGCAATCACAACTCAATGCAGTGGATGCAATGGCTAAAGTGTACCCAGGGAGCCATGGAATGGGCAGGAAGGGCACCTCAGCCCAGAAGCAAGCAGTCAGGGAATGCTTCCAGAGGAAACTGAGCCTCAGGGAAGAGAAGGGCTTGCAACAGATGGCATTGCCATTCAGAGAACCTCAAGTATACAGAGTGGCAAGAGCATGGGTTTTAAGGAGCAGCTATGGGGGAGACGAGGCTGGAGAAATAGGTAGGAGACAGGTCTTCAGTGGCTGGCAGTGTTTCCTGTGGCATTTAGAGGGCAATAAGAAGCACTGGCAAATGGAATGGGCTTCCCTGGTAGCTCAGCTGGTAAAGAATCTACCTGCAATGCAGGAGACCCCGGTTCAATTCCTGGGTCAGGAAGATCCCCTGGAGAAGGGATAGACTATCCACTCAAGTATTCTGGGGCATCCCTGGTGGCTCAGATGGTAAAGAACCTGGGTTCAATCCCTGGGTTGGGAAGATCTCCTGGAGAAGGGAATGGCTACCCATTCTAGTGTTCTTGCCTGGAGAATCCCCATGGACAGAGGAGCCTGGCAGGCTACAGTCCATGGCCTCGCAGATAGTTGCACATGACTGAGTGACTAAATGTGTGTTTACACGTGTGTATAAAATAAGGAGATGGCAATCGATTTCTGTTTTAGAAAGTTCGCTTCAGTAGTAGGGCAAAGGACAGAGTAGAGAGAAGTGATACTGGAAGCAGAGAAGCCAGTCTGAAAGCCCAGGTGATTCAGGAACCCATGACATCAGTAAATGATGAAGACTGACACTGGGGAGCAGTGGTGGAACTAGAGTTAAGGGGATAAGGAGAAGGACTGGGGACGCATTAGGAAGATAAAACAAAAACCTTGGTTCCCAACGGTTCAGGAAGGGTAATGGAGAGTTGTTTCTACAATGACATATAGTTTTCTGATGTTGGACTAATCGTACTTAATCAGGGGCCATTCCCTCTTAAATGGTCTGCCTCCCCTAAGGAGAGCTCAAAACAACCCACTGTGATGCCAGGAAAAGTGGCAGAATTTCATTTACACTTTTCTCAGTTTTTAAATTTCTCTATATATATGTGTATACAAAGTCAACAGTAAACTAGTGCAATGGTATGTATATATAATTTTTTAAAAATTATTTGTTTGGCTGTGGTAGGTCTTAGTTGCAGCATGTGGGATCTAGTTCCCTGACCAGGGTTCGAACCTGAGCCGCCTACATGGGGAGCACAGAGTCTTAGCCACTGGACCACCAGGGAAGTGCCTATAATTTATAAATAAATGAGTCTTCATATATTGTAGGGTATGCACAGTATTTTCTTATCAGAGATGTATGATCAAAAAGCTTGGAGCCTGAGTGCAGGATTATAGTAGAGAAAAAAAATGGCAGTTATGGGAAATTTAAAGTGCCTCCAGAACATCTAGGCAGTAATTCCTACAGGACTGTCCTATGGAACTTTCTGTGATTATAAAAAAGTTCTAAATATGTGTTGTTCAATATGGTGGCCAGTGACTACTCATGGCCATTAAGCACTTGAAATGTGGTTCATGCCACGAAGGAGCTGAAATTTTTAATTTTGATAAATTTAAATTTATTTAAATAGCCTCATGTAGCTAATAGCTACCATATTGGAAAGGACAAGTCTAAAACTTAGAGGAGAGACCTGGAATCTCATTCATTAATAAAATTAATAAAAAAAAAAAAGAATATCACATTTTAAATCAGTAATTTAAAAAAATAAATAAATAAAATAAAATGTTTAAGTCAGCTTTACAATTGGGGATCACAAAGCCCAGAGAAATTACATAATAATTGTGTCTGGTGATGAGATTGGAGCTGAGATATACTTAACTTTGGAGCCTACACTCATGACCATCATACAAGACACATACACATTACCCCAGAACAGGCTGGTGGAAGAAAGATCTTAAAATAAATGAGAACTTAAGCCCTGGAAACACACATCAAGGAGGTCAAGCATCTCAGTGTTGGCAATGAACAACCTGAGCCATCTTCTTGTCTGACCTTTAACCATGATTTAGCAGACACTGAACAAAGTGGAGACTTCACACTTCTCTGAAAACTCCAAATTCTACCAGAGCAGCTTCAGATCACACTGTCAGGGCTGGTGGATTTTGTTTGTTTCTGGTGTGACATCACACTCAGATGAGTGCTAAATGTGCACCTAATTCCTTGATTCCGTACACCCCACAAAAATTCATCAATAAGGCTCAAGTCGGGAGCTTCCTCCCCACTTCCTATCATCACCCTGCTCCAGGTCACCGAAAAAAAATAAATAAATAAATAAATGCTTCCACTGGCTAAGCATTTTATACACATTTTAAAACACTGTAATTATTCCAACTCCCTTATGGAGTAGACAGTATTACAAAAGAGTTAAGTTTTTCTTTTCTCTGTCCTCTTAATAGTGAAGGTTTATATTGCAAGGAAGAGCACATTTTCTCTGAAATATGTGTCGTTATAGATATTCTTCAGTGTTAGTCACTCAGTCGTGTCTGACTCTTTGTGAACCCATGGAGCCCATCAGGCTCCTCTGTCCATGGGATTCTCCAGGCAAGAATACTGAAGTGGGTTGCCATGCCCTTCTCCAGGGAATCTTCCCAACCAAGGGATCAAATATGGGTTTTCTGCATTGCAGGCAGATTCTTTATCATTTGAGCCATCAGGGAAGCCCATATTCTTTACTGGAAGATATGTATCCATCTTTCAATACCAAGCACCAATTTTATTTTCTTTTTCTTTCAGGTGGCTGGCTCTGTTGGAGATTCAAATATGTATTATTTTAATATTTTATTATTATGACTGTAGTCTTCTGGACCCATTGCCAAAACAGGTAAATCTTTTCAGAATTTTGAATAGCATGACTTTCAAATTTGAGATAAGTCTAACTCCTTCATTTTAATTACTGGGTATGAGCTGGCTGATCTCCTCACTTAGGCTCATCTTAGTTCATCTCTGCAGACTGAGAAACATTCCCTTAATTCTAAGTCAATTTTGTGTTTCCCATTATAGGACCTAATAGTAGTGTTTTCACCACTTAGTGTTAGGAGCTCCTCAATGAATTATCACTTTTAACCCTTTTCTCTGGGTAAAATAAACATGGCCTTGATGTCAGGCTTGTTTCCCTAGAAAGGCATGTCTGTGTCCGAAAGAGAGCCATGAGCTAGGAGTCACAGCCCTTAGTCCACTTGGAAGCAATGACATAGAAGGAAATTAACCCAACAGTAGAAACAGTGAACCTCAATGTGAAGACCATGACCTTTCCCCACCTCTGACCATTGGCTCTCTCAATCATTTAACTCCTCTGTGTTTCTGTAGTTCTGTTCTCTTAGACCAATGGCCCTCAAACTGGTGTGAGCATCAGGATTAGCTGAGATGGAGGGGGCTTGTTAGAACACAGAATCCTGGGCCCGAGCCCTAGAGCTCCTAATGAGTAGATCTGAGAAAGGGCTTGAGAACTTGTATTTCTGATAAGTTCCAGGTGCTGCTGCTGCCACACTCTGAGGACCACTGTCCGAGGAAACGGGGAAGTCCAATTTAATTCCAGGTGTTTGGAAGTCCCTTTGAAATCTCTGGATAAACGGTGCTATTTAATTTAAACTGAGGCTAAAGCTCAGAAATTAAGGATTGCAGTCTCCGAGCTATTCACATAGCATTTTGTGCTATGATTTACTCTTGGTATATTAAGGGCTAATATATGGAGGGATAAATAAAACTCCTGGGTGACATTTCAACAGAGATTCTGTAAGTGCATAAATGACACTGAAAATATTATATTGCTCACAAATATGCACATTTCAGCACTTTGCCTTGATTTCTTTTGCACTTCTATTTTGAGTACAAGCAACAGTGATAAAGAGCTCTCAAAATCCAATGATGAAAGGGAAATCAAAACACCCTTCACAAAGGTTTTCAGCTGAGTACAGTTTTGTTGGCAAAATGAAGATCCGGGCCAGGATTTGCAGGCACCAAATACTAGTTTCTGATCTTCCAAGTTAAATGTTGCGATATTGCCCAGGACTGACTCAGCATCTAACTATTTTCCCACCAGTCAGAAGACACAGGAATGCCTTTTCACATTAGAAGGATGTCAAACCATGTGACACATAAAACTGGAGATCAGTCATTTTGACCAGGTCCTTAGGCAGGGTCTTTGTTCCAGCACTTTCTTCCCCACTAAGAATCCTAGTATTTTTATACCTTCTTTTGTTTGTTTGTTTTAAAATATATCCTATGTCTATTTTGACCCTACTAGGAAAATTTTTCAAAGAGATGTGACCTCAGTTTGTAAAAAGTACAAGTCTGAGAGAATCCTCGCCTCAAACGGCATTTCATTTCACAGTTCTTATTTTAGAAAGATCAATTAAAATTATTTAATTGTTGGACTTATTTTACTAAGTTGTGAAAGGAGGGGGTCAAAAAATACAGGCAATGACCTTCCAATTACCAGGCTTTTATAAGCTGCAGTGGGATTGGGGAGGCGGTCCCCAGGGCATGCTCCAGACACTGTCTTCAAATGCAGGAAGATCATGGGACTTGGAAATCAGCTCCCTCAAAGGAATTTTCTTGCCACAGTACCCCAAATCAAATGCTAGCATCTCCAATTTTACTTTTGTAAGAGTTTTATTTTACCTGAGTCTAAAGAAAATAATTTAATCTTCATTCTCTCCCAATACGAACCAAACCATAAGGAAACTTTGCAAAGCTTTCCAGGATCTGTGATTGGTCAGCTGTGTCCAGATGCTGGCAACAGGAACTATTTCATTTTGAGCACTCACAAGAAGACCCACTTCAGTTCTTTCCCAAAAGCAAGCACGTTTTTTGCTAACACAGTGAGGTTTTTGTTTGGCTGGTTGGTTTTCTTCTGCTGTGCTTTTGGGGGTAGGGGAATGGATTCTTAGAAAATCTCACAAGATCTATGGATCCCCCTTATAGAAAAGTACACACTTCTTCATACACACAAAATGGTGAATGGATGCAATTTCAGAAAGTCCGTGCAACTTCTGCAACTCATTCTATCAACTGACCTAAGAATCCACTTGCTGATAAGCTCTTTCTGTGCCCCACTGCATTCAAACTCATGACAAAAAAGCTCATCATCTAAGTTGGATCCACCTCCTCCTTCCTCACCCCTCCTCTTCCTCCTACACTCAAAGTTGACAGAACAGGTTGGTTTTCTCATTCAAGCTCCTAAGCTTCAGCAATCTCTTTGCTTTATTTGCAATGAACTGACCTCCCCTCACCCCCACATCCATTCACCCCTTGTTCATAACTAAGATGTAGCAGAACCTATCAGAACATTTGGCACCCACAGAATATCCTTTTGGACAGTTTTGCTCTTAGGTCCACTGTAAGAGTGGTTTGCACCATCAACACCATGTTGTCTTATGAACATCAGTAACATGTGTAATAGAAGTCTCACCCCGCAATTATAAATGAGGTGTCAGAAACTGGGGGCCAGAAATGCATTGAAAGAGCTTTATTTGTGGTATCCTCTTCACTCAGATACAGTGAAGGGTGAGCCCGAGGCTCATAGCCTGGGGATCTGTGAAACTGTGAAGCTGCTATCAGAATAAAGGATTTGTACTGATGAACCTATTTGCAGAGCAGCAAAGGAGATTGCAGACATAGAGAGCAGACTCGTGGACACAGCAGGGGAAAGAGAGGGTGGGACAGAGAGAGTAGCATGGAAACGTGTATATTACCATATGTAAAATAGGTAGCCACTGGGAATTTGCTGTGTGGCACAGGGAACTCAAACCGGTGCTCTGTAACAGCCTAGAGGGGACGGTTGGGGTTGGAGGTGTGAAAGAGGTTCAAGAGGGAGGGGCCACATGTATACCTATGGCCAATTCATGTTGATGTATGGCAGAAACCAACACAATATGGTAAAGCAATTATCCTCCAATTAAGAATAAATTTTTTAAAAAGATTAAGGGATTGCTTCCTTTTCTGTCCCTTGAATAGTAGTGTTAATCGCTCAGTCGTGTCCGGCTTTTTGTGACCCCATGGACTGTGGCCCGCCAGGTTCCTCTGTCCATGGGATTCTCCAAGCAAGAATACTGGAGTGGATTTCCATCCCCTTCTCCAGAGGATCTTCCCAACCCAGGGATCAAACCTGGGTCTCCTGCATTGCAGGAAGATTCTTTACCATCTGAGCTTACGGGGAGGATCCATCCCTTGAATAGAAGGCTAAAATTGATGCTCACCATGGAAAGCTGATCAAGTAAAACCGTCCAGCCTTCCAAACCTAAACTTTGCCTCTCGGGAACAAACACACTGAATAAAGCCTAGGTCCGCACTGTTGGCTTACGTTCCTTAACTTCTATCCTCTTTCTGCATTTCTGCTTTTAGAGTTCTCTCCACTTGGTGGGTGTCCAGCAACCGGAAGGACGATGCCGAATTCAGTTTAAACAAAGAAAATGATGTCTGCCGGAGGGCCAGGGCTGTCTGGAGGAGTGACTGCCCCCCATCCAGTAGCCCGGCGGCACCTAGACCTGAGTTTGACAAGAACACGTCACTTGATTTTGTTTTAGGATTTAGTTCAAGACAGTGTCCAGATGGCATGTGTATTTGGTATCTTAAGTGTAGACCAAGAATCTGACATCACTCTCACTGATACCAAGACCCCAGTACAGGGTAAAATGTTTCAGTGACCCAAAAAGAGGTATTCTTCAGAAGTTGGCATTGGTTTCATACATTACTGCAGCAGTCCCCAACCTCTTTGGCACCAGACACCAGTTTCATGGAAGACAATTTTTCCACAGATCAGTAGGGGAGGTGGAGTTTTTGGTTTCTCCCACCACTCATCTCCTGCTGTGTGGACTGGTTCCCAACAGGCCAGGGCCCAATACTGATTCGTGATTGGGAATCCCTGCATTATTATATCAAAACTTTAAATAGAAAGTATGTCATGTGAATGAAATTTTTCATACATTAAATTAACTGTAAAGACAACATACTTTAACTTCAATTTTTGAAAAAAGGCTCATAGCCTTAGACTTGAAAGAGTATTAAATAATGATTTCTGGAAAGTTGCTATTTTTCTTAATATGATTCTTAACTCACAATTGGAATTCTTAAACCACTATTAATTTAATTATTTATGAAACATGTCTAATGCTAAATATATGAATAAAGTGATCACTAAGACCTGTGAAGTCAGGTGTCATGTCTGACACTCATTTATATCCTCCACTCTGCCTAGGACAGCACTTCTCTATAGAGTATATTCAATATATGTATGTTGACTGATTTATTCATTTGTATTTTAATTAAGATGAAAGCACCCTTTTGATTCAAGGTGTTTATAATTGTAGTTGAAGAGATAATATTTTTTCTAATTTATAGAAGCTCTAAGTGACGTGTCAAGTCAAATAACATTTCAATCTACTACTTAAGACTTTTGCCTGAAGTATTTACTATGAAATCCAGAAAAGAAATCCTATCATGTTCAGGGGAAATATATGACCCCAGTCACAGTGTGATTTGTCCTCTACGAGTCAATAAAATGCCATCTGCCTCCTTGGTTTCACAATAAATAAGCTTTGCAGTGCATGTGTCCTCTGGATTATTTGCTCCCCTGTGCTAGAATTATCCCGTGGGGTTGAGAACGATTGCTTACTCATCTATCTCCCACCAATGAGCAGATGACTCGCTAGGAGAAAATTAACTACTTTGGAATGCATTAACTCTTCGGGACTAATACAGTGATTTTGAAGCTTAGCTAGAAGCTTGCCGCTGAGCGTAGCAGGCTGGGGATCTGAGGACTGAAGGGAATGGAGAAGGCAGTTGAGAATCCACAGGCGAGTTGAGAACTGCGGACCACTAACCTGGCGGTTCTTCTAAATATGGCAGGTGTGCTCCCAGGGAAGGCGTGTCCTCTTCCAAACAGCTGGGGCCCACAGCGAGACATGGTATTTGCAAATAATAGACACTTGAACTAAATCTGCAGACACTTGGGGCTAGTGTTTATCTCCTTACTATTGCTTGGTAAGGTTGAAGTTAGCTGGCAAGTTTATGCACTTAAAAAAAAACTGCAGATGTGAGAGATCTACTGACCTTTGAAATAAAGCACGGTAAGAGGAATATACTCGGAGGTCCCTATTTCTTTTCTCTTTTTTTGTAAATTAATTTATTTTAATTGGAGGCTAATTACTTTACAGTATTGTAGTGGGTTTTGCCATACATTGACATGAATCAGCCATGGGTGTACATGTGTTCCCCCATCCTGAACCCCCTTCCCACCTCCCTCCTCATCCCATCCCTCTCGGTCATCCCGGTGCACCAGCCCTGAGCACCCTGTCTCATGCATCGAACCTGGACTGGCGACCTGTTTCACATATGATAATATACATGCTTCAACGCTATTCTCTCAAATCATCCCACCCTCGCCTTCACCCACAGAGTCCAAAAGTCTGTTCTTTACATCTGTGTCTCTTTTGCTGTCTTGGCATATAGGGTCATCGTTACCATCTTTCTAAATTTCATACATATGCATTATTATACTGTATTGGTGTTTTTCTTTCTGACTTACTTCACTCTGTATAATAGGCTCCAGTTTCATCCACCTCATTAGAACCCATTCAAATGCATTCTTTTTAATAGCTGAGTAATATTCCATTGTGTATATGTACCACAGCTTTCTTATCCATTCACCTGCCAGTGGACATATAGGTTGCTTCCATGTCCTGGCTATTGTAAACAGTGCTGCAATGAACATTGGGGTACCCATGTCTCTAATTCTGCTTTCCTTGGTGTATATGCCAAGCAGTGGGATTGCTGGGTCATATGGCCATTCTATTTCATTTTTTAAGGAATCTCCACACTGTTTTCCATAGCGGCTGTACTAGTTTGCATTCCCACCAACAGTGTAAGAGGGTTCCCTTTTCTCCACACCCTCTCCAGCATTTATTGTTTGTAGACTTTTGGATAGCAGCCATTCTGATTGGCATGAGATGGTACCTCATTGTGGTTTTGATTTGCATTTCTCTGATAATGAGTGGTGTTGAGCATCTTTTCATGTGGTTGTTAGCCATCTGTATGTCTTCTTTAGAGAAATGTCTGTTTAGTTCCTTAGTCCATTTTTTGATTGGGTCATTTATTTTTCTGGAATTGAGCTGCAGGAGCTGCTTGTATATTTTTGAGATTAATTCTTTGTCAGTTGCTTCATCTGCTATTATTTTCTCCCATTCTGAAGGCTGTTTTTTCACCTTGCTTATAGTTTCCTTCATTGTGCAAAAGCCTTTAAGTTTAATTAGGTCCCATTTGTTTATTTTTGCTTTTGTTTCCATTACTCTGGGAGGTGGGTCATAGAGGATCCTATTTCTTTTTATTTCCCTAGCCTGAGATTTTATAGAGGGCTTCCCACATGGCTCAATGGTAAAGAATCTATCTGCCAGTGCAGAAGATACAGGAGACATGGGTTCAATCCCTGGCTCGGGAAGATTCCCTGGAGGAGAAAGTGGCAAGCTACTCCACTATTCTTGCCTGGAAAATTCCATGGACAGAGGAGCCTGGTGGGCTACAGTCCAGGCGGTCACAAAGAGTCAGATGTGACTGAGCCCAGCATACACAACACATATTAATTGAAGGTATATGTATATATATATATATATATATATATATATATATATACAATAGGTATATATTTATATGTATTAACTTGAGTTTTCCACAAAGTGGAGCCTAAGACAGATTTGTATGCATTGCAGAGAGTTCATTTGAGACGTGCTCCCAGGCAGCAAAAGTATGGGATCAGAAAGAATATGCCACCATCGAGTTATGTTATTAAGGTAGGTGTCCCAGCCCCTATTTCAAAGGACAAGCCGTAAGAGATGAGGGGACCATGTTCAAGGGCATGTGAGCAGTGGCTGGAGCATGGTGAGGTGAGGAGCATGGGATTCTGAATGTAGTTTTGAGCACGTTTTAATAGAAATGTGAGATCATCTATATGCAGAACATCCTTGTGGAGATAGCCATTCAGGCTCATGTAATAATTAATGATAATATTAACCCTCCTTTTTCATGTCCTCGCAAAGGGCTTATAACTTCGTTTTTACTTAGCAGCCTGAAACAGAGAAGAGTGCATGTATTTACTGACGGAACTGCAGAACTAAATGGTAGTGTCACTGGAAGCTTGTAATTAAAGCAGGAAATAGGGAAGGAGGGGCCGTTAAAACTGAAATTAGGAAGTCACCTGCTGAAACTTAAGTGTGAGCCTTTAGATAGAGTATGTACTCATTAAAAGGCATGTCCTTTCAAGATTTTAACGTGGACAAAAAAGGAAGTGTCTAAGTCTGTTCAGGCTATATAACAAAATACCATAGAATGGGTGGCTTATAAACCACAGAAACGTGTCTCTCACAGTTCTGAAGGTGGGCAAGTTCAACACCAACTGCAGCATGGTTGAGCTCTAGTGAGACCCTCTTCCTGGTAAGGTCAGTAATTTCTCAATGTCCTCACATGGTAGGAGTGAGGGATCTCTTGAAGTCTCTTGTAAGAATAGACATTCCCTTCATGAGGGCTCCACCCTATTCTCATGACCTAATCAACCCCAAAAGGCCCCAGCTCCTAATATCATCAACTTTGGGAGGACTGAACATGTGAACTTGGGGAAGGCACAAATATTTAGACCATAGCAGGAAGAAATCCTCCGTAGTTGCTCAACTTTCTAAGTAGAATCAAAAGTATTTTGTTCCAGTGGAAGACCCTGGAGAGCATTTGGAAATGCAGGTGATTCCTTCTCTTAGGGGCCCCATATCTCTTAAGAGAGCAGCCAGGAGCCTGGGATTCTCTCTGTGAGCATGGAGTGGACCATGGGAGTCCACATGGGAGTGGACCATGACACTTGGCTTTCATCAGCATAGCATTCTTTTTTTTTTTTAAGTTTTTAGAATAAATGTCTCCATATTTCTTCATTAATGTTGGGTTTGGGTAATTAAAATGAGCTTATCAAAGTTTTATTGTTAGTTTTAAGATCTTATTTTTTGTTATTTTAATGAATGGCTATGGGAGGTTGAAACAGCTGGATGGCATCACCGACTTGATGGGCGTGAGTTTGATTAAACTCCGGGAGTTGGTGATGGATAGGGAGGCCTGGCATGCTGCAATTCATGGGGTCGCAAAGAGTCGGACACGACTGAGCGACTGAACTGAACTGAACTGAACTAAACTAATGGGTGGTTACTAACAAGAGTACAACCTACATTAAAATATTTTCTTGATGAACTGCCTATTATTACATTCTAGAAGCCAATCAGATAAGCTTCTATCACTTGAATAATTACTGTGAGGCACTTTGCTAAGCCCATTTCACTCACCCACTTTATTCTCAAAATAATCCAATGTGTCAGGTGGGTTTCTATGATTATCATCCCTGTTTTACAAATGGGAGAAATAGAGTTTGGAGAGACTGAGTGACATAC